ACGGGCTTCACTCACACATAAAAATGTATACACATGAAGTGTGGTGGTCCTCTCCACGATGGTCCAGTGTCTCCACAATACTGTTTCCCTTTACAAGGTCGTTATGGCAACAACCAAAAACTGTCCCCAGCCCCCCCCCCCAATCTCTAAACTGAACTCTACGCTAACGTCGAATAACTTACTAACTATTCAGGTGCAGTCCAGCGTGGGCCTGAGAGAAAACGAGAGAGCAGAGAGAAAACCTCTGACCATTTCCTTTGCACTGGTTTCATTTTGGTGTCACATCCACAGCTGTGAATGTGGTGCATAAGACCGAAATCCTCTTTAAGCAATTAAAAAAAAAAAAAAAGAAAAAAGAAGAAGTGGACACTGCTGTGTCAGCAAGGTTTGATGGGTTTCCGGAATAAACCTTGTGATTTTAAACTGAGCTCTGACAGGTTTTCTTCTAATTATGGAAGTTCTGAAGGGGGAATTCTTGTAATTACCCTCTGCAAAAATGAGCTAAAACTTACCACCAGGGGGCAGCACTTCACCAGTGGGATGTTTGCAGGTAGGTGCCGCTTTTATTTTTAGTCCCACCCCCTCCTCCTCAACGTGCATTGCCTTTGGCCTGGCGCCACAGTAAAAAGAAATAATAATAATAGTAATAATTAATAAAGGTTACACTGACCCTGCAACACAAGGCCTGCGTGGCTGTCACTTTAGTTAATTTTTGATGTTTCAAACTATTTTTTAAAATACAGGAATTTACAAAAAGTACCTTTGAATTTTTATTTGATTTTTAAAAATGTAAATAAAACTCAGGTGTTATCAAATTTTTACACAACATAGTCCTGCTGAATGCCAATAAAATAGACCTTATCAGAATTTCTACTTATCCATTTAAATTTGATATATATAGCCTGAAATTCTGTCTTAATATGCTGTATTTATTAAAATATTCATCTGATATGAATAAATTCATTTTTGAGGTAAGATGTCTGAATTTTAAACACCCAACATTTTTATGTTAAAGGCTGTTGTGACTAAATTCTAAGTAGTAGCAGCGAAAATCAAAAAATAAATCCTTGTCAGTGCGTCTTAATAAAGCAGATTCTCGTCAGTTGTGTGCAAATACTCCTGGATATGAAAATAAAGAGTACCGATACGCTGGTAAGAGTAAACAGATGTGTTTGTGAGAAGCAACAAAAAGAAAACCATACTTGATTCTGACAGAAAACTGCTGTCTGCTTCCAAATTACATTCTGTACAAAAAACAACCCTGAGTCTCATCAGCGGGTCGGCCGCTCCGCAGCCTCTCACCGTTAGCCTCTGTGGTCTGCCCCTCCAAACGCAATCGCTCCTAACACCACAGTGCTCCCTTCCTCATCGAGTCAGAGGACCCTCGGGTGGGTGAGTCAAACATAAACACACACACACACACACACACACACACACACACACACACACACACACACACACAGCTTGTTATTATTTTTGTTTCTGCTCCTTGTTGGAATTGTGTTGGCATTTTTGTAGCTTGGACAGCATGTGGGATGGAAACCAGCGCCACGACAGGGAAGTGTGACAATCGACAATCGCTCTTTTTCAGGTTCCCAGATCCCATCGTCTTCACTCTGCTCTCTCCTGCACGACTGGCTGCTTGCTTGATGCTGGCTTCCTGTGTTTGTCTAATCAGGAGTAGATGGTGATGACTTCACTTCCTCCGCCTCTCACCAACAGCACACGCTCCAATCCTTCTGTCAGGACCTCCAGGAACTCCATGTCTGCTCACTGAATTAACGAACTTCTCATACTAGGTTACTTTGATAATATAAATGAATTCATTTAAATAAATGAAAAGCTTATACGTTTTAATAATCATGTTAGTAAGCAAAATTTAACTAAATTTCCTTTCGTCTTTAAGGCTTTAGTGATTTTGTAATTAATTTTTTAAACCCTGTTTAAGCCATCATAAAGGTGTCTGCTGTAACAAAAGTACACTCAGTGACTGCAAAAACAAGCGCCTAACATTTACTTTGGTGCAGACTCGGGGTTAAGGATACAGTTCTCATCTCCTTCGGTGTTCCTGGGAGGTCCAGGCATGTTGAGCAGGACGATCCGGGCGTCGTGGGATCTGTTGACGATGACCTCGTTGAGTTTGACGGCAGTGTGCATTCGCCTGACGTTGGAGTGGTCCCTGGAGGAAAAATGAGATGCGTTAAAGGACCTGGTTAGCGCGGATCTCAGTGTCACAGAGAAACCTGCTGTGTCTGCTCACGGCCTGATGCTCAGCATGTCCCTGAAGCCCTCGGGGGTGGAGCAGCCCGAGTGCGTCGCTCTGTATTGTGTGGTCTTCTCTTTGGTCCAGGTCATCTGAATGCGGCGGTGGTGCTCAGAGCTGCCGCTGCCGCCGCCGCCGCTCGCCGCCCGGTCTCGCTCGCCGCCGTCTGTGTCATCTTCGTCGTCTGAGCCGATGCTCGTCAGACGCAGCATGGAGTTACGATCCTTCACCAGCTGGGCCTGGCGTGTGAAAACACACAAACACGCTCTCTCTCATCTCTTTTTCCAGCCTTTTCTTCCACCTCATTGGCAAACCTCTCTTTTCTACAGTCATTCCTGACTCCTGCTTCTCTCCGTCTCTCTGTACCTGTCTGTCTCTGTCTCCTCTGGAGGTGTTTGGCGTGAAGGGTCCAGGACTTTTGTACCTGGGGGAAAGATACGCCTACAGAAAACACAAGGTCACCTAACTCCCCAAAATCAAACACAGCCTGCATCTACTCTGGTGGGCACTGAAGCACAACTACAGGGACACGGCAGTAAATAAAAAAGGCCCGAGACAAAAAGCTTCTGAAAATCTGAAATGAGAATGAGTGTGAAGGGTAGAGGGAAACAAAGATGACAGAACAGTTAAAGGAAGAAGCATCTGACACATGTTAGCATTATTAACTGAACCCTTCAGATAAAGAACTGGACTGACAGTGAAATAAATGTGGATTTGATCTACATTAGGGAGGTCAAAGGATTCACTCTGTAACGATTCAGTGTTTTATTTAAAGCAGGGGTTTTCAAACTTTTCCCTGACACACCCCAATGAAGAACCCTGGAAAAAGTTCACCCCACCATCCTGTAATTATTAAGATCACATTATTTTATTGTGTCTCCCCATAGAGGAAAATCATGCTGGACTGCTGCATCAACGCTAGACAACACCAAACATTACGATAACATCACATGTAATGGAAGTGTTTTTAGGAGGCACAGGCTTCAAAAATTAAAGCTGCAGTTACATTAAAGCTGCTCCATTTAAGTTACTCCTCTGGTCTGAAAAGAGAAGTCACAGCTCACATTTCTAATATATGATTTGTTTTCCTTAAATGCCAGCAGGGGGCGACACCTCCTGACCCTGAGTTCAGCTCACTGTGTAAATTTTGTTTCTAAGAGCGTGAGAGGAGCGTATGCTTGCAGTTTCAGTCCCAGCTTCGTGAAGACACTTCACAAACCGACGGCTGACGTCACGGTGACCACATCGCTTTTTTCCCTCTCAACTCTTCATCTGAAGGGCTCAGCTGCACTCACAGCTGTTCAGAGGGTTTCACTCTTTACTTTGACAGCGTGTCCTGACTGCAGGCTACTCTACAGAGTCTAATCTGCTCTACTTCAGACAGCTGTTGCTTCTCTACTGCGCAAACTTACATCATCAAAACTCCAGCGTACCCTCTGAGGAGATGAGAGGCAAAAGGAGGCGACATGAACGTTTAACAAACATCTCAATGCAAGTTACCGTCTGCAGTGCTTTTTTTTGTCAGTAGCCCGTGTCCCTTACCATGAGTGTTACCCACCAGGATTTCTTTGCCATCACCTCAGTACACTGCACTTTAGTTTCTTTAGCAACCTTTGGACCTCAACACTGAGCTCTTTCTCCTTAAATCTAATTTAATCTGGAAGAAAACGGTGACCTCAAAGACAAAACATGGCGTCTGTACTGGGAACCTGATCTCCACTTTGTTCCAGCTTATTTTTGCAGAACAAAAAATATTATTTTTTATATTTCCTTAAACTCCTCCCAAGTCATGAACTCACAGCTGACCTTGACCTCTAACCTCACCTGAGACCTTGTAGCTCCACCTGCCTCTGGCCTACCATTGTTGCTGCTACTGCTAGGGCTCTCCTGGTGAAAGTGGTGGACAAATGCTTGTTAAGACCCAGCTTGCATAAAGTTTCAAACTCCTAATCAACCCTACACAAACCTGCGGGCATTTTTCACACCACACAAAACCCGCTGTAAGCTTTCCACACCTACCTCTCTGTCCCGATCAGATTTAGACAGTCGCATCTGTCTGAGCATCTGACACCTCTGCTCCATCATCAGCGTCCTCTCATAGGTATATGCACTGATGTCACTGTCGTGCTGAGAAGAGGTACATGGACATGCTCAGAAGAGGTGAGAAAACAGCTGTTGTAGAAATTAGTGGAAATCAGACTGGAATTTATATTTTACTGAGATCTTAGGTCCACATTTAACCTTATATTCACACAGTGGTTCAGTTTATGCACTTTAAGAACTTCATCCAGTTCAGAATTAACATTACACGCATGTCTTTGCACTGCAGAAGAAAGGGGGAGTGCCCGAAGGGATTTAAAGCAGGTTCCTTTTGTCTGTTTTCATGTTTAAAGAATTCAATCCACCAGAGGCCTCAACACAAAACTCTGGTGTACTCTGAAGTGCAGAGAGAGACACCTCCTGCTCATAGGCTTAATCGTCACAGTAGAATCTCTTTAGTCAAGACAATGAAAGTATTACCTGTTTATTTTTTTTTTATGTAAAAATCTGTGATTCAACAACAACATAAATACGATCTTAAAGGCTGTAAAAAAATTATGCATCTACATGTTTCAGCTGGCGAACCAGTGCAGCCATTAAAGGTGAATATTTCAGTCAAAGTGCAAGTGGTCAGACCCGGTAATAAATAAATAAATAAATATATTATTTTTATTAGGGGTGCAACGATGCGTACCATCTCCACTACTTCCACCTCAGCATCGATGCGTAGCTGATAGGTGAAGGTTAACAAATCCTTCTTCATCTGGATGGAATTATCCTCCATCTGGGCCACTGTGAAGATTCGCATTGAACACTTGCGCCACACCTGGGCAGAGACAGAGCAGAGGGTTCAGCGGAAACTTTAAAGGCTTTGTTAGAGTTTAAGATCAACACTTTGTTTTCTTGCCTTGTGTTGTCGCAGGAGGAAAGGCAGAAGCATCAGCATCCCGCCGTCATGGACGATCCACCACACATCGATGTAGCCCTCTGTGCAGGGCTCGGAGTTGCTAGGGAACAGGGAGATGTTTTTGGGCACCAGAAGCGCAAGGTGGGCCGCTGTGGTCACCCGCACTGTGTCTGGAAGGAGGAAAGAGGGCGTTGTTAGCTTGTTAACTTTGAAACAACCCCATTAACCGCTTTGCTGTCCTCTCTTGACTCACTGATAAAGGTCTTCCAGGACTGTGGGTCCTCGCTTTGCCTCCAGGCGTGAGGCCAGCCCATCACCACAGTGTTGGGTTTCATTCCTCCCAGGCCACTTGACTGGATCATGTGGCTGATCCCATCACGTGGCTTTTGAGCCACGATGCACTGGCAGAAGCCCTTCACGCGCTCCTTATCCATCAGGTGCTTCAGAGTCTGAGGAAAGAAGGATAAAAGGTCCAACTCCACATTATCTGAAAGCAAATACATTTCCACCCATCAATAACAAACGGCCCTACCTGCTCAGCAGCGAGCGCCTCTCCATAGCTCTGCAGGTAGTTCCCGGGGACAACAGTGCCAACAATGGTCAGGCCTTTTCCCGCCTTTAGCTGGCTGGCAAACGTCAGGAGCCGAGGAGACTTGACGTGGGCGTCTTCGTCCAGTTTTAGTAACACCAAAAGCTGAGGCCTGGACACGGACAGACAAGGCGATGAACAAGAGCATGTGTGCGTTAGTGGATTATTCCTAAATATTAGTGACAGCAGAGCCTCAGATTGTCTGTCTTTATGCTGTCTACATTTTTGAATGGGTTTTGAAAACTTCACAGCCAAGTGCTCAGATAAACAAAATAAAAGTAAATGGAGAATTGGTCATCTATAATTCAATGCTAACTTGATAAACATCAGCTGAGGACTGTGAGACATGATGGAAGCGCTGGAAAGGATAATAAAGAGGCCTTTCATTTAGCCTGATGTGCATCTCCCCAGTTGTGAAACCAAAGCACCACTATGAGGCAACTCATTTTCAGAGTTCGCTCACCCCCTGTCCTCCTGTCTTGATGCAGTTAGTTCAGCTCAGTCAGCATCATTTGAAGCACATAAAGAGACCCAACAAAGTCACACGGAGGCCCCATGGCTGGCTAACATGTCAAAATGTAATTACATAGCAACAAACTGAAATTCAATTTATTTGTGAAAGAAAACCAGTGTCCAGCAACCTGGAGCTCTCCCAGACCTGTTTGAAAGTGACAGTAGTGACCTGCAGTGTTTAATTTACTGATCTGCTATACCTAGTACTGCACACCAAAAGAGACTTGGCACATTAAAATCATCAGATTCTTGTTTATAATGCTAAATGTGACGCAGATTCTGATGATGTCTTGCAGCTTTACTCCCAGCACTGCACGCAAACTTAAGTGCAAACAGTTCATCAACTTCTAACAGGTCAACTTGCATCCTGTGTTTGTGAGACAGTTCAATACCTCCAGTTTTTAGTATGCGGTGGTCCTTCTTCCAGCCTCAGCAGAGCATAACGGGCAGCGCTGAGTGACAGACCACGGATCCCATCTCCCCACTCCTTCTCTGCCCTGATACACAACCACACCCAGAAAATATAAGAGAACATACAGGTATATTTATTTATTCACAAACAGTATACACTGTACACTCTTCTGTTCCCCTGAAAATAAAATAAACATGTTAACACGAAACAGACATGTTTACACACCAGTCTGTACATGCACAATCATGTGGAGGGAGTACATCTCCATGGCAACATACCCTTGATACTCAATGTACTTGTAGATCATCCCGGCAATCACCATGGCAACGATTGCGTAGTACCAAGAGGATATGAACATGAGCGCCAGGCAGAAAGTCATCCCCAGAAAGGACAAGCTCCTGGACAGATGAGCAGAGCAGACGTCAGGGGGGGGGAGCAAGAGAGAGAGTGAGTGAGTGAGTCTTTGGTAGTACCAGTGGTAGTATGAGAAGCGAGGCCTCCAGTTGGGTGTCCTCAGGAGGGTCTGAAGGGCACAGGCCAGGTTCACAAACAGGTAACACATAAGGAAGAACCTGGAAGGAGGGTTGGAGATTCAAACTGAGGTGATGAAGGCAGACTAAGTGTGCACATGCACACACATGTAACATAACTGCATCTTACATTGTCAGAATAGGAGCCACCATGTCCAGAGATGCGATGAGAATCCCCAGCTCAGCTACCAGAGCTGTCAGCAGCAGAGCCCACGTAGGTTCCCCGTTAGCTTTCCCGTGGCCAAACACCTGCCAGAAACACACAGAGTTCAAATATACACACACAGACCCAGCAAATCACACTGTGTTTAAGGAAATGGCAAGTACTGCAAATGAAAAAATAAAATCTGAGGGTTGTTATTACATAGAGAGTGGAAGGAGGCAATAGCCTGAGCACTGAGAATCAAAGAAATAATCAAAAGCTTCGGTGAAAGGCAGGAATTGGAGAGAATACAGCATCTCCAGGTAACTACAAATTACACTCAAACTACCTAAAGAAATGGGTCACACTGTACATGACAGAAAACATAAAACACCATCACTTTAAAGCATTTTAAAGCACCACAGTTCCATCAAGGTATTTGCACACTGTCTTCCCCTGCTGCAAGATGTTTCTGTATGCAAGTGGAAGGAACTGAAGTATGCAGCATAAATACATCAGTAATTCAACATCAGTAGGGATTTCTGCTTCATACAGCATCATTAAGTTAATCCTGAGCACAACAAGAATAAAGGAGAAGTGCTTGGACAGTCCCTGTAATTAAACTGAAAACTAGCAGCTCTAACCCGGAGGAAGGGGATGATGTTGTCTTTGGCGATGGCCTGCAGGAGTCGTGGAGCACCAGTCAAAGACTGGAGGCCCGCGCCACATGTGGAGAAGAAGGACCCGATCACAATGACCCACGGCGAGGGCCAAGCCAAAGTCCCCACCACCAGATTGCCTTTAACTGAATCTCCAAACCTGCAGAAGTAACAACACATGAAGTAGTTTAAGCATCAAAGTCCTTCTGCCTCACATACAACACAACACATGCAAATACAAACACAAGAGCAGGTGTACTGACTTGTCTCTGAGGACCACCCCCTCGATGCAGGCTCCAAACAACACGACATTGCTCAGATCTGGATGAACAGCAGGTCAGGAAAAAAACAAAACAAAACAATACAAAGTACTTTCAGTGCCACGAAAATCGGACTGTGCTGAGAAAATTCGAAGAACTGCCTCTCAGTCATACGCCTCCACTGCCCGGTCGAGATACGCCATCCAGTCTCTGTGGACTCTCCACATAAATCACAAATCACACCAGCACTCGCCTCAAGGTGCTTTATATTGTAATATAAAGACCCTACAGTAGCACAGATGCCCCTCTATAAACAAGAACCTGAGGACAGTAGGAAGGAAAAACTCCCTTTTAACAGGAAGAAATCTCCACCTCACCCTCAGACACGACCAGTTGAGGAAATGAAGACAGGACAAAAAACACGCTGTGGAAGAGAGCCAGAGATTAACAGTAACTAATAATTAAATGCCGAGTCATGTGCCAACACTCAGAGTGAAAAAGATGAGTGAAGAAGAAACACTCAGTGCGTCACGGGAAGCTCACAACAGCCTAGGACTATTACAGAGTAACTAAGGGAGGATTCAGAGTCACCTGATCCAACCCCAACTATAATTCTTTTTAATTATAATTGTTTTATTTTCAAAAAGAAAGGTTTTAAGTTTTAAAAGCAGAGATAGTGTCTGTCTCCTGGATCAAAACTGGAAGCTGGTTCCATAGAAGAGAGGCCTGACACTGAAGCCTCTGCCTCCCATTCTACCTTTAAATACTTTAGGAACAACAACTAAGGCTGCAGTCTAAGGGTGAAGTGATCTAGTGGGGTAACAGCGAGAATGGTGAGCAAACTAAAGGTGAACTTTCGACCTTTGACCTTGATCTTAACCTTTGATTAGCAAATTTCAATCAGTCCACCTTTTAAAAAACAAAAAACACAATTCAAGGTATTCTCAGAGATGGATGTAAGGATGGACAGACAGCGTGAAAATAAAACAGGTGGACAGACTTAATCCACTAACAACACAACATTATTCTCATTAAATATTTCCATGATCAGCATTTAGGTTAAAAACTTCAGAATTGTGTTGTAGCATCTTAAATTGTGCTTTGAGTTGCTTTTGAATTTGAGTGCATGAAAGTTCAATCAAATTGTCAGATGAAAGGATACAGACTAAAGAGGTGGTGAGGATGGCGAGGATGGTTCCGATGGGGATGGAGCGCTGAGCATCTTTTAAATCCCCCGACCGGTTGGAGCCGGCCATGATTCCTGAGAAACAAAATAATTCAAAGGAAGAGGAGATAAGTGATAACTCAACAGCTTTGTGCTTAAAATATCAACTTTAATGTTACACTGAATATACCACAGTTTTTTAATAAACACCCTCGTGAGTGAAATGTGTGATCAATATTTCAAATCAAAGAGAATTCATCTCCATATTTTTTCTTTTTTAAAGTGTTTTCAAGCTAAAAAAGTGAAAATAAAGCCAACTGCACAGACACAAACAGAAATCCAAGAATAGATGCCTGACAGGTTTGATCCTGAATCAGCAGCTGCACCGTGAGCGGGAATCAATATCACGCCTACAGCGCTTTTCCTGTCAATGATCCGTTTTCATCACTGAACCAAGCCAATATTAGGTTTAAATTTCTTATATGCTTATATTTCTGAATTAACACTGAATGGAGCCCAGTTAGTATTTTAGGGGCGTCTGTACCTGTGACCGAGGGGAAGAAGATGCCCACGAGCACTGTGAAGGAGGTGGTGATGTCAGCAAACACGTACGGATAGCGATCAGAGGCTGGGTGTGCAACTTGAGAGGTGTGGAGGGATCTTTTCTCCAAAACATCCCCTTTGTGGAGGTATGTACTCCACAGGTTCTCTGTTAAGAGGGAGAAAAAAAAAAACCCATGTAAGATCAGTCATTGACATTGGCAGAGGATAAACATTCACCTACACATTCACATTTATTTAGATTTAGAGGCCCTAATTAGTGTAGCATTAGTAAGCTGGTATAATATCTGCCTCCGTCTCCTTCGATAAAACATCCTCCAACTGCTGCTTATCCAGGGCTCAGTTGTAGGGGCGCCAGCCCTAGCCAAGAAGTCCAAACCGCCCTCTCCATAGCCACTTCTCCACCTTATCCAGGGGGACATTGAGGCATTCTCAGGCCAGCTGAGATGTAATCTCTCCAGCATGCCCTGGGTCTGCCCCGGGGCCTCATTCCAGTATGACGAGCCCAAAACACCTCAGCCAGGAGGCATCTTAGTGAGATGCCTGAACCACCTCAGCTGGATTCTTTCAATGAGGAGTAGTAGTGGCTCTACTCTGAGTCCCTCTTGGATCACTGGACTCTTCACCCTTTCTCTAAGATAGAGTAAAGTCAAAGATTGACCAGTAAACTGTCAGCTTCACGTTTACATAGAGTTCTCCCTTTCCTACAACAGAGCAGTGCAGTGATGTGGTTCATTTGTCGATCTCCCTCTCCCCTCATTCGTGAACAAGACCCCCAAATTACTTAAACTCCTCCACTTGGGGCAGTGGAGGGACTCGTCCTTGACCTGGGGTGACCACTCCACTCTCTTCCACCTGAGGGCCATGGCCTCAGACTTGGACCTTCAAATTCTCATTTCTGTGAGCTGTGAAGCCTTCTGCCTCTCGGCTCTACCTAGAAATTCTGTCCTGTCTGTGATATTATGTTCATTTTATTCATCTAAGATGTTTGGCGTGTTCACATATTGGGGGATAAAAACTGGATTTCTTATCTTTCTCCTTAAAGCACCAACATAACTTCAGACCAGATTGCTTTTAAAGCATTCTGCTGCATCAGGCCAGCTGAGGTCCATTACTGTTACAGAGCACAGTATGTCAGGATTTATTTATGGGCTCAAATTGTGGTCATAAATATTTTGTACTTGTAAATCACGATTTGTATGTGTAAAAAAAGATTTGTGTGTGGACTCCATAAAGCACCCCTCCAATAGCCAAACCCACCTGTTCTCTGATTGGATAGTTAAATTTGTGATTGACATAACATTGGCCAATCAGATGAAAGGAAGAAAAACTGGGTCAAAATTCGTACTTGAAACTTGAAACTTGAGTGCAGAGTTTCACACGTATTTTTTGCCTAAGTCCACACACAACTTACACACACAACATTTATCAATATAAACACACACACACACACACACACACACACACACAAACACACACACACACACACACACACACAAACACAACAGTACAAAATATTTATGACCACAGTTTGAGCCCATATTTATTTTACTCCTGTTATTCCGTCATTCAGCTGCTCAAGCTAAGTTAATAGCTACAAGGGAAAACATCAATACTAAGTTCTTCCTGTTTTAATCAGGAAGAATCAAGAATACATTTTGAGCCAGAAGGAGAGATACTGGTTACTTATCCTTCTTACTGTCACTTAGCAGAAACAACATTAGCACAACAATTTAACGCCTGTTTAAATGTGACGGTTTAAAGTTTTAATCGATTATATTTTTTTAAATGCACACTCAGTAAATAAGAAGTAATTTCATACTGGACAGCTATAAGTGAGATTCTAGCTTTCAGCCAAGAAACAACACTAACAGTGCAATCCCAGACTTTCCTGGAACTTCCATGGAGACCACAGACTAAAAAGAAGATGGACACAGCCAGACTTGGCTAATGACCACCCTCATCAGATTTAAAAAACAAACAAACAAAGAGGCAATGGTAAAACACTCAGCTTGGCTTCGTAACAGGTGGGTGATATCACATTGGCCGTGTCCATATTTTATATGATCTCTCATTCAGAGAATCACTGCACTCCTCATGCATGCACTCTACCTGATATGGCCCCACTAGTCAGTCCGGGGATCCCTTTAATCTCAGAGAAGTTGTTTGAAGTGAAGTATTCGTCACAGGTGGTGTTGAGCTGTGCGTTATGGCAAAATAACTTCCAAAGATGTGTGGTCTTCTCCACCATCACCTCTGGGACATGGCTGGGGTCAAAAGTGGGGCCCACTGTGCTGTTTTCTATCAGAGAGAGAGAGAGAAAAAAAACAGCGTTTCAGAAAAACACTGGTGTAACTCAGAGAGACACTCTTACTGCTCATGACTCGTAACAGAAAGAAGGAAATCTGAACCCACCGTTAATCGTGAAGTTGCTGTCTAATTTCTCAGCTGGAACTTTAACCAGGACAGTTTTACTACAGTGGTTGTCAACAACATCATGAGCGTTGATAGTTCTGTTTCCCAGCATGCATACGCTGTGGATGAAAGCCCAGTCAGTCAAAAATGTGACGCATAAATGATCGGTCAGCTCTGTGTTTCTCCAAATAATCAAGACTCACGGAAAATCCGGCACGCTGAAGGCAGAAACCAGCGCTCCGACATAGATGGATAAAATGGAGATGATGACACAGGCCAAGAAGACAGAGGCCAGTTTGTTCACATACTTGACCCCCACGAAAACCAGCAAGGCCATGAAGAGGAGAAAGATGGAGCCGTATATCCTCATGTTGTTCAACATGGCTGCTCCTTCACCTTCAAAGATCGCTGCTCTGGGTGCAATGTACATCTGTCAGAGGGAGAGGGAAGAGAGCAAGAAGCAGGCCTCACTTATCTGAAGGTTCAGTAATATAAGTGCGTTTAGTGCAAATCAGCCAATTAGATGACACATATAAATAATATCAGCCTGTCAATAAAACTGGTCAGCCTCCTTTTGTGTCCCTAACTCAGGTCACATGTTTATTTAAAATAACTGAGCTTATGGGTTTTGTGAGGTCCACATATAGTGAAGGCAATGAGTCGTTACTACCTCGTATCGGTATAGAGTCACTCAATGATCACAACGTAAGCCTTTACATCCAGAAGAAAGTCTGGAGAACACGATACTAACTGGAACAACAACAAAGCAAACAAAGCAACTCACCAGAAGGATCTCGACAGCTCCCAGGATGTACATGGCTCCAGCGAAGGTTGTGCCCAAGTAGAAGCACAGGCCTACCGCCCCCCCAAACTCTGGACCCAAAGAGCGGCTGATCATGAAGTAGGAACCTCCCGCTGGAGGAGGAGGAAAGAAGCAGGAGGAGGAAGGTGTATGTAAGGGTTGGAGCAAGTGGAAATGAAGAGGGAGAAAGAGGGATGGAAAAAAGTGGGATGAAGACAGAAACAGATTGGAGGGGGGGAAAAGAAGGGTGGACAAAGAAAGAGAAAGAGCGGAGGCGGTGGATGGTTAGTAACATTATGATGTTGGGAGGCAAAAGGGGAGAAAAGAGGAGTCATACTATGCTTGTAGAAGTAAGCATAATGTTCTATGTGACACAAATACAGACAGAGCGGGCTTTCATTCAAACGGCATCTGCAAATGCACACGGCAGCAGCTGCTCAGCTCACTCCAAGTGCTGGACCAGGTCGAGCTTAATGAATCCAATGCATCCAACCTTCTGACATCAAGCACCAGGCTGTACGTGAATAAGCCAACACTCGGGTAACACAGCCCAGCCCGCATTACGGTAAAATTAACATTGCCCCTACACAACTGCTACTCCAAGTGTGGCAAGGCAAACAGCGGCTATTTGCTGATACCATTTGAACCACGTATAACACAAATGAGGCAGTAAGAGCAGATACCAATACTCTGCTGACTGCGAGCATAATTCGGTGTTTGGTTTCCAAACAGCAGCATTGAACACCACACAAAAAGGAACACACAGCAGGGTCGATGTCACAAAAAAAATGTAATTGAATATGAATGTGGTAGATTTAGACATATTTAATGTGAGATGTTCCTGAGCGAGGCCACAAAACCTGCTGGACTTTCAGGTCACTATGTCTGCACAGGCTGAGTGATTTTTAGTGCTGAGGTGTATTTGAGAACCCAAACACACTTTATTACTTGTTCAGCCTGACCTCAGTAAACCCCCCCCCCCCACACACACACACACACTTAATCGCTACCATCTGAGAATAGAAAGCATGACAGCTGGAAGCTGCTCAGGTGAGACAGAGCGTGGGGTAAAATGCCTGATGAGAGTCAGAACTTGTTAGAGATTAATTTTCTACTTTACAGAGGTTTTCTCGTTCTACATTCAATTATCAAACTGTGCCATGCTTGTTGGAAAATAAGTCAGTTAATCAAACTACTCTGACACTGAGGATATTCGCCTCGAGGCATTTCGGCGAGAGAAAAGGTCAATGGCAGATAAATATTCTAGGTTTTTAAATGAAGGCACAGACAGAGAGGGAGAGCAGACAGAGGGAGAGACGGGACACAGAAATAACACTCGTTAGCAAAACGTCGTCAGCGTGCCCAAAGCTGGAAAATGAGAAGGACAACCGGGAAAGACAAACTACAAAAGTCAACACAACATCCACAGAGGCCACCAGACTCAGTCCACTGCAAAGTGTCCACATAAAAATGTGATTTATTGTGGAAATACACTTCAATTCAGAGACACTGAAGCAGACAACACAGAGGTGACCCTAAACTCAGCACCCTGCTGGATTTATAGCTTTTTATAAAAAGTGCATTTTCTTTCTTTGCGTAAATAAATTACAGGATGAATAATATGAAGTTAAGAAATAAGTTACATTCATTATGTAAAGTTAATCTATGTAAATCACTTTGTGTAAATCTTAATCTAATAGATTAACAGTACCCATTGTGCTCTTCATACTGGTTCTAAGTGTGGATAAATGGGAAGGAAAAAAACATGGAAGAAGAAGAATGAGGAGGGGAGGAAAGAGTAGAGAGAAGAACAAATAAAGGGAAGGAAAGGAGGGAAAAGTAAAGAAGATGAGGAGGAAGAAGCAGAAAGACAAGAAGGAAGGATCTCTGGGCCACTGTGTCCACAGAATGAAGGAAGAAACATAAAGATAAAGGAATACCTGGTACGACTCCATTGGTTGCGATTGCACTCATTGATATGGCGGTCAACATTGTCTGGAGAGGAGAGACGGCAGTGTTTTAGAAAGGTTTCCTGTTTTTGTCTCCTTGGGGCTGTTTGCTAATACTCCAATACTCACACAGCAACAGCACATAAGAACAATACAGAAGGCCTGCAGCACGCCGGCAGTTCCCACCACCCAGGTCAACCGCAGGAACAAGATGACGCCGAAGATGTTCTGCAGACAAGGAAGGTACACGCCCATCAGCGTCCCCATCTGTGGCGACTGGAAGATTACACAGAAGAAAAAAGGTTAAGCAGAAACGAAATCCAAAGACAGCACGTAATGTTACACTGAGGTGCTCATTTGGAATTTGTTCATTTATTTCAGTCCATCATACTACCTTCATCTGTAAATAAAACGAAACTAAACACATTAAACTGATGTTACATTAAAGGTTAATTCAGACTTTCGATGAACATCATTTTAGCCATTATTCGACAACTTCATTTGTGTGGGCTCCCCCAGGGTACTCCAGCTTCCTCCCATAGTCCATGTTAGGTTAACTGGTGATTCTAAATTAGCTGTAGGTGTGAATGTGTTTGCCCCTTAACAGCCTCTCACGCCCTCCGACAGATGGGACAGGCTCAAGCCCCACAAGCAAATGCTAAAAACATTAGATTCATCAGAGGAAAGAGAAAGCTAATATTAGATACTGTAATTAGCCAATAAGCTTACATTCTGAATGATCTACATTCTGCTGTAAGCAGACCTTTCATACGCTGCAACATGTTTTGACCTACCACCTGTCCCACTTGGTGATGTGGACTTTGAAGGTTTACCCAAAAAGCAGTACTAATGCCTGGGCCCAATACTCTACAGTCAACCGGAGAAGTTTTCCTATAGAAATTATTTATGCCATGATACTCACACACAAAGTTCAGAAAAAACATCATGTTGTACAAAAACAAGAGTCTAGCTGTATATCATGAGACCTGGAGTGGGTATAAAATGGATTTGGTTGCAGCTTTTAAACAGAGCCTAAATGTCTTACTGCTAGCTCAAAAATGGTTCAAAACTGCTGGAAAACAAACAAACAAACAATCAAAAAAATCCCTCAAATCCATGTGTATGTACTCTGCAGACTCAGACAACTTTCCTGGTATGGTCAAATTGCCTCATTTAGTGGCGGGGCAGATGGCAAATATTTATTCCCATATGTGTCTGATTTTATATGGAATGACCCTAGTGTCCTAAAACCCATGTTTTAGGAAACCCATGTTTTTAACATTTTGTACATCTGCTTGCAGCAAGCACACATACATCGAGACCCATGAATCACTTCTACTCTGGTCCAGTTGGGATTTAACGCTGCTCCTTCTCCATTCAAATGTTTTCTTACCCAAATATTAATCTCTTAAAGCTGGTCTTTAAACTAGCCCTGCTCCACTGTCATCTTTCCAGGTAAGGTCTTGAAATCACTGCACGGCTCCTCCCTGCTGTACCAGACTTATGTTGATGCTTGTACTGAACACACGGTGGGGTCCAGACGGGAGGATTAAACATGTTTTGGTTTAACTTTCCCTGCCGTCTGTTGGCAAATGTGTCCGAGCAATCCGGCAAACGTGCAATTACACTCAAACCGCCAAAACAGACAGGCAGTTCTTATCTGGGCCAGCCAGCGCCTTATCAGGAAGGATTGGGCTCCACACCAGGGTTACATCCAAACGCAATTTCAGATGGAGGCAGCGAGTCAGGAGGGCGGCAGAAAGAGTCAGTTTTCTAGGACAGGGCCTCAAAAACTGATGAACAAATGGATGTCTTTATTTTTATTGTTTCAGGTGCAACATATGAACTAGTGATCATGTGAGGATTGTTACTGTCATCCAGATCAACTTTGTACTTACTACACCATTGCTACAACCAGGGCTCATCCTGGTTATGACACTGCAGTAAAAGATTGTTCACCCAGACAAAGTACAGCTGGAATTGTGCACTCCATATGGGCAGATTGCCCAACATGCCTCGCCATCCAGTGAATCTCATTAAAACACTAAAGGGTTTTACGAGGTCACACTTGTGTTTACGTGTGTTTCAAGGTTTATTCGTTTGTACCTTGCTGGGTTTCTTTTTCTCGCCGATGCTCTCGGCCTCTTCATGCTCTTTGGCCCCCTGAGTCAGGTTGGTGTAGTTGACCAGGCGGCTGAGGAGAGAGGACACCTTCGGTCGAGTGTCCATCTCCTCCTGTGGGTAGAGGACGAAGAAAAAGAGGAGACAATGAAGTATGGTGGAGCGAGAAAGAGATTAAAACAGATGGAGTAAAGATGGGGCAAATTTAAAAAAAAGGAGGAAGGGCATAAATTACTGTGAGGCAGAGATGAAGTAAAGATAGGAGAACAAGTGAAAGAAAGATAAAATGACAACCGGAGAAAGGCAACAGACAGAAGCTATGAAAGAAGAGGAGGCAAAGAGGCATACTGAACCGGTAGATAAAGAAGTGGGACAGAGAAGAAGGAACTCTGTAAACTATAAAACCTGAAATTATCTACACCCACCAGCCACATGCTGGTTATTCTGGGCTCCAGTTAGCAGACATCCATCAAATAAACAGTAACCATCATTTTCTATTCTTAGCCCTGTGCTGTATAATAAAACCATAAGAGTGAATACATTATAAGAAAGCAGCAAATACAGCCACTAGAAAGAGTGGCTGAAATGTTTTGTACCTCAAACAAGGCCAGGTTTTTGTCGTAGAAGTCGTCATCGTCCACCTGATGATTGCTGTTGATGTACACACTGGAGGTTTTCGAATTTCCCTCACCTAGCCAATAAAAGAAAGACAGAGAGAGAAATCATAAACAAAGGGAAAGAAAAGGAAAGGATGATGCAGCACGAATATGACTGAGCACAAAGGAAGCTTTTTTTTTTTTTTTTTTTTAAATTGCTGTCATCATGGCTCGGTGGTGTCGACTTTCAGCCGTTTCCCTCACAGTCACAGTTTGATGCAGCGACCCCGTGTCGCTGGCTCGGTTCCTCCCGCCGGTGCAGACCGCTGCATCGGCAGCACCTGAGTCAGCAGCATCACTTCCCCCTCCCTGCTACGCCACACTCACGCTAACAGCAGCCAAGGGTCACACGCTTCACAGAAGGGCACTCAGAAGAAAACCAGAGACTGAGGGATGAGACAAGTTCTCCCTTCTTGTGTAACATTCCAATAGCAAAATAAATAATAACGGTGTGGATTCCCCTTAAATACATGTAAAGTTACCCCAAACTGAAATAATAACAATAAATAAATAAATAACAAATCTTCCTATATTTACTTCATTTTCCTGTAAACACAGCAAACTTCCACCTCTTCACACCTGTAAAAACTGTGGTGCGGCGGCGGCGGGGGGGTTTGAGAGCATGATTCATTTTCAGTGTTTACTCTATGAATGAGTTCACACTAGCTGGTGAATCTAAAACTGCCTCAGCAGCTTTCACTGTCTATTTTAGAACATCGGCTGGTTACGTGCCAAAGAAAAAATAAATCAACGATCCCTGGGAGGAAATAAAGAAAAAAAAAAGCCAGCATTTGTGTGGTGGGTGGTAACTTCCCATCCTGTTCGCAGTGCTACATTTGGCCAAAGATACCGAGTGTGATACTGACTCAACACAGGCAAAACCTCACTCCTAACAATCAACAGCTGAAGCACGATGGCATGCTGGGAGATTTTAACTAACGAGCTAATCAGGTAGCTCGCTCATTTGTTCATAAAACATGTTAACTGGCAGGTCATCTAATGCGTGCTCCTGATTTTCATGATGCTGCTCTTTACACACAGAAACTGAACCATGTCAGATGAACACAGATAAACGTGAATGCTCCACATCTTAACAAGCTCACACTCGCCCGGATAGATTTGAAAATGGCGTTGTCGTCTCCGTGTCCACACTAGCGTTTTCAGTCGTTTTCACAGAGTTGTGCGTCCACATTGAAACGGACGAAAGCGCTTACGGTCCAGTACTGCGCATGCGTGAAACGCAAGAAGATTCCACCTGCCTCATTTCTGTCTGCTGTTTATTTACTTTCCGAGTAACACAAAGTACAAAGTTGCAAAAGCGAGTGAGAATTAAAGAATTTGAAGAAAAGCTATCTGAAGCGTGTACAGACTGATATTAATCTTTAATAGGGCTGTCAAAATTGAGCGCAAACAAAACAACTGCTGTATAATGCCCTCCGCTATCTTAGTTTAATTGGTCACATGACTGCATCACATGACTAACATGCGTCATCGTTTTCGAAAGTCTCAGTTTTCGCTGTCCACTCTGCGGCGCATAAGCACCCTCTTCAAATGTATGCGTTTTCAACAGCGTTTTCAAAACGCTGCGTTTTCCTTTGGGGAAAACGGCGTCTCAGTGTGGATGGGAGGCCAAAACGATGTGTTTTCATACAAAACGCATTAGTGTGGATGTAGCCTCAGCATGTTTAGCACTTAACTTGTTAATCAGGGCTGTCGAGATTCACACCTATCTGCTCAGGCTGTTGTGGGGAAATCATCTGAACTTTCAGTTTTCACAGGGGGGGGGGGGCACGTTTAGATTTGCATTCTTTGGCTCGACTACATGAGCTCTGCATAATCAACGTTTCAGTTATAATCTTGAACACACTTCTTTAAGCCAACATTATTGGGATTCTGATTGGTTGGCCGGCCTCACAAACAGGTTTGAACAGCAGGTTTACACAGTAAACTGTGACATCATACAAAGCCAAACTGAAACCAGCATCTAGGGCAGTCTGAAGTCTGAGCTTTTGGCTCACAGGGACCAATTAGGACATATTTAACATAGCGATCCACCATCAAGAGAGGATACCTACTCACACTGTGTGCCTTCTTAAAAAAATAAACTCTTTTTAAATGTGCAAAATCATTTGACTGACAGTCAGCATCAGAGCTGAGAGCATCGGGGAAACTACCTGCTTCCATGTGGTTAGTTTTGTTGTTGCGTCATTTGTGAGACCAGCCTTGGTGTGCACAGCTTACAGATGATGCTGCTCTTTTTAAAAAAGTTCAGTGATTCAGACAACAACATGTGACTCAGGTCAGACACTTCTCAACCGAACAGCCAACTCGGCTTACAAATACAGTCCCAAGTTTGTTTTTCCTCAAATATGAAAGTATACATTTCTGTTTCCCCACAAACAGGCTTTATTTGGGTCTGCTGCCTGGTATTTAAACTGCAACCCAAGAAATTGCGTGAGTCATTTAAGATTTTTTTATTTTGAAAGCTTGCTCGGCACTAACCAGTCAGACCCTGCTCTGCCCGTGTCAGCAGGATGTCATTTGGCTGAGTCTCTCAGCAGCAAGTTAATGTTTATGTGCCGTTATGCCAAAATCACTGATGCAGCAGAGCAAAACGAGAACTACTGTCGCAGCCTGCCGTTCCGCCGACAGAGATGCATCTGAACACCAATCCACTATTTATTGTCACCAAGTATGTTACTATTGCAAATAAAATAAACGCTGCAGTTTGACAGTATATTGGTGGATATCCATCGAGTTCTATACGCTCCTATCTACACCAGTACTGATCTGAAAACCTCCTCTTAGCCAAACTAAAAGCTGTCCAGAGACACATGTGAGCTCTTACTGCTGTCCTCTCTGTGCTCAGCTGTTCAACTTCATTCTATAATCCACACCCAGTTCAGCACAGGGGAACACAGCTGTGTGTGTGGCCCCAAGAGGACAGGTCCGCCCACA